AGCGACCGTTTTTCAGTAATATTATTTTGCGAATATCCTGGTTGCCTAGCGACCGTTGCTATGTAACCGCACACCTTTAACACTTTCTTTCTTCGCTCTCTCTTTCTCTCTCACTTCCTTCCTTTGCTCTTCTACCCACTTTGCCACGATCCAGAGGTGGTTGTCGCCCGGTACCCTTATACTCGGCTATAGTCCCCCCCATCCATTTTTAGGGGGTGGAATCACAGGGGCACGGGTTTGCAATCCCCCCTATCGCCTGTTCGGGGATGATTCGAGATTCATTAGGGGATTGGGTTTTCGTAGGCCATCATGCTACCAATTACGCCACCACAGGCCACATAGATTCTGCTTTTTTCGGCATCATGATTTGTTGTTAGTTTAATATATCCACGTTGTTAATCGCATTCCGTTTTTTGGCTTGAGGTATGGTTCGAACTCGATACCCTCTTGGTACAAAGCCATCAATCTACCAGTTACGCCAACACAGGCCATACCAGTTTAACTTTTTTTAGCCATATGACCTGTTAGTTTGTTATACCTACTTTGTGTTATTCAACAACAAGCAAGTACCACAACGTTAGTCGTACTGCTGAATTCCGTTTTATGTCTTGAGGTATGATTCGAACTCGGTACCCTTTTGCTACGAAGCCATCACTCTACCAATTACGCCAACACGGGTCATACCAATTCAACTTTTTTTTGGCCATATGACGTGTTAGTTTGTTATATCTACTTTATGTTATTCAACAATAAATAAACACCACAACGTTAGTCGTATTGCTGAATTCCGTTTTATGGCTGGAGGTAGGATTCGAACTCGGTACCCTTTTGGTACGAAGCCATCACTCTACCACCTACGCCAACATAGGCCATACCAACCAACTTTTTTTTGGCCATATGACCTGTTAGTTTCTTATATCTACTTTGTGTTATTCAACAATAAATAAACACCAAAACGTTAGTCGTATTGCTGAATTCCGTTTTATGGCTGGAGGTAGGATTCGAACTCGGTACCCTTTTGCTACGAAGCCATCACTCCACCACTTACGCCAACACAGGCCATACCAAACCAAGTTTTTATGGGCCATATGATTTGTTAGTTTGTTATATCTACTTTGTGTTATTCAACAATAAACAAGTACCACAACGTTAGTCGTACTGTTGAATTCCGTTTTATGCCTTGAGGTGTGATTCGAACTCGGTACCCTTTTGCTACGAAGCCATCACTTACCAATTACGCCAACACAGGCCATACCAATTCAACTTTTTTTTGGCCATATGACCTGTTAGTTTGTTATATCAACTTTGTGTTATTCAACAATAAATAAATACCACAACGTTAGTCGTACTGCTGAATTCCGTTTTATGCCTTGAGGTATGATTCGAACTCGGTACCCTTTGCTACGAAGCCATCACTCTACCACTTACGCCAACACAGGCCATACCAATCCAAGTTTTTTTTGGCCACATAATATGTTAGTTTGTTATATCTACTTTGTGTTATTCAACAATAAATAAATACCACAACGTCAGTCGTACTGCCGAATTCCGTTTTATGCCTTGAGGTATGATTCGAACTCGGTACCCCTTCGCTACGAAGCCATCACTCTACCAATTACGCCAACACGGGTCATACCAATTCAACTTTTTTTTGGCCATATGACCTGTTAGTTTGTTATATCTACTTTGTGTTATTCAACAATAAACAAGTACCACAACGTTAGTCGTACTGCTGAATTCCGTTTTATGCCTTGAGGTATGATTTGAACTCGGTACCCTTTTGGTACGAAGCCATCACTCTACCAAATACGCCAACACAGGCCATACAAACTTAACATTTTTTTGGCCATATGACGTGTTAGTTTATTATATCTACTTTGTGTTATTCAACAATAAACAAGCACCACAACGTTAGTCGTACTGCTGAATTCCGTTTTATGCCTTGAGGTATGATTTGAACTCGGTACCCTTTTGGTACGAAGCCATCACTCTACCAAATACGCCAACACAGGTTATACAAATGTAACATTTTTTTGGCCATATGACGTGTTAGTTTGTTATATCTACTTTGTGTTATTCAACAATAAATAAATACCATAACGTCAGTTGTACTGCTGAATTCCGTTTTATGACTGGAGGTAGGATTTGAACTCGGTACACTTCTGGTACGAAGCCAGCACTCTACCACTTACGCCAACACAGGCCATACCAATGCAACTTTTTTTTGGCCATATGACTTGTTAGTTTAGTTTCGTTTAAAATATACAATATCGCCAGCTTTGTAACGTTTTACTAATGTGATCGTCGTGGCGTCGCGCGTTGGGAGGTGGGAGTCGATGGAGAGAACAGGGTAGCAAAATTTTCAGACAAAAGTCAAAAAAATTTGGGTCAAAAAAATTTTGAGAAAAAAATTTTTGATCAAAAAAAATTTTGTTCAAAAAAATTTTGGTCTGAAAATTTTTTGTGAAAAAAAGTTTGGGTCAAAAAAATTTTTGGTCAAAAAAATTTTGGTCAAAAAAATTTTGGTCAAAAAATTATGGGAAAAAATTTTTGGTCAAAAAAATTGTTGTTCAAAAAAATTTTGGTCTGAAAATTTTTTGTAAAAAAAAATTTTTGGTCAAAAAAATTTGGGCCAAAAAAATTTTGGGAAAAAAATTTTGTGAAAAAATTTTGAAAAAAAAAGTTTTTTGGAAAAAAAATTTTGGTCAAAAAAATTTTGGTCAAAAAATTTTTGGGGAAAAAAAATTTGGTTAAAAAAATTTTTGGTCAAAAAGTTTTGGGAAAAAAAATTTTTGGTCAAAAAGCTTTTGGTCAAAAAACTTTTGGGAAAAAAACTTGGCCAACACAGGCCATACCAAGTTAACTTTTTTGTTATATCTACTTTGAGTTATTTAACAATAAACAAGTACCACAACGTTAGTCGTACTGCTGAATTCCGTTTTATGACTGGAGGTAGGATTCGAACTCGGTACCTTTTTGGTACGAATCCATCACTCCACCAATTACGCCAACACAGGCCATACCAAACCATCTTTTTTTTGGCCATATGACTTGTTAGTTTATTTTCGTTTAAAATATACAATATCACCAACTTTGTAATGTTTTACTAATGTGATCGTCATGGCGGCGCGCGTTGGGAGGTGGGAGTCGATGATAGAACAGGGTAGTTTAAAGTATATTAATTAAAATGAACTAATTAACACTTTGAATAATAGTATAGATTAAAACGAATGAAAAACATTAATATTTTTGACATGTTTGAAATGAGTGAAAAACAATAGATTAGTCTATTTAAAATGGTTAAAGTCATAACTACATTAACTTTATTGATCATCCTCATCGAAGAACGAATTAATGAGTATATTAATGTTTATATAAACATCAGCAAATATGCTTATGTTTATAATGCCTGTACCCGTACAGTGTGTTTGTAATATATATCACTGAGAATGGTGCGGAATGAAACACTCCTCCCATGGATTTGTGAAAAAAATTTTGGGCAAAAAAACTTTTGGTCAAAAAATTTGGGCAACTCTGAGATCGTCGAAGACTTTGAAATCTGTCGCGATCGTTAGTCGACTGGAGACCCGGTCGACCAAAGTCGGATCCAAAAAAAGTCCAGACGAAACGACCCAATCAGATTCTGCTCCAACGGATCTCGACGCATGGTTGCGAACGGGAGTCCTGGCAGTAGCAATTGATTGCTCATTTGAACAAAATGAAACCCAATAAAAAGTTGAGTTAACACTCAGTATAGTACTAAGTGCAATGAAACAAACAGACAGACAGATACACAGAAATAAAAATTTATTCAATATATTGGTTACATTTTATGTAAATACAGTGAATTATATATGAGTTTTTCTACCCTAGGGTATTCTACCCAAAAATTTCTAGTTATACATTACTTTCATGCAATGAAACTGTTGTTGGGTCGTTATTTCATAGCCACCCTTGCAGATTTCAAAGCATGCAGTATGCATCAATGCAGAATGCATTTATGTTTGGCGCCATCTCGTTCTGTTTAATAATAACTGGCCGAATGACTAGTAGTTTACCGTGTTCACAGTAAAATTTATCCATACGTTTCTTTAATCAAAATGTAACAATTATATATTAATTAATATTATTATTGTATCACTATTTGAAATTAATAATTAAGCACGATGCAAATAATTTTTGGTCAAAAAAATTTTGGTCAAAAAAATTTCTGAAAAAAAAATTTGAGAGGAAAAATTTGTGGAAAAAAGTTTTTTGGAAAAAAATTTGGTGGCCGAAGTTTTAATATCCGCAAAGGCACATGCATTCTATATATTTGAGAGAATGTGCGATTGGAAAATGCATATGAATGAATTATGGAATGAATTAATTCAATTGAATTTAATAACATGTATTTACATATACTACATACAATGTGGATTCCATTTCGTTATTATTTATTTGAAATATACTTAAGTAAAAAAAAATTATACCTTGAAGTATAACTAGTATACATAAGTGCTAAAGTAGACGGCTCTTGGCAATTGGACGTTTATCGCCTAACTGTCAAATGTAGCATTGGTACAGAGAACACAACCTAAAATACGTAGATACATACTCTGCACTATGATCTTAATGTACTATACATTGAAGACTTCTAAAAGCAAGATCTTAATTTATTATTTACAAATATAAAAATAGTAAAAAATTACGACCAATTAACTTGATTCAATAAATGTATCTAATAGTAAATAATGTATATCAAAATAACTTATAGAATTTATTTATGTTCTGATGGTTAATAACACAGAAGAAAAACAAACTAATTGTTGGTGATTTTATTGTATTGTTTTACTGGTTTTCTTTTATATGCCTAAATTATTGTCACAAAGAACAAATTGAGCTTATCAAAATAATTATCAAAAATAAATTGATATAAAATATTCAACAAATAAATGTACTGAAAGCAGGTATAATAATACAAAAACAAAATAATAAAATATATTTAATAATATTATACGTTTAATTAATTAAAATAATTCTATGTGAACTTACTCTTACGCGATTTAAATAATGGCTTCAATGAAGAAACTTATGGACTAACTGACTGCCTAACAATATTATGCAGTCTAACTAATGTAAATGTATTTGGAGATAGTTTTAAATGAGCAATTTGGATTTTAGCGTTCCGTATGGCGTTGTTGCAATTTGATGCGCATGCCGTCGGGAGGGCGTAATATAAGTTCGGCACATAAAGTTTCCTGAGGTTTTAACGTCGTTACTACATATTCACGTAACACGGTGGCCAGAACAGCTTTTTCCTCCATCAGAGCAAATTTCTGACCTGAAAGTTTAATTAAATATATTACAAAATTATTTAATAGTTGTATGAATAAGTAACAAATGTTTTAATAATAAAATTGATTAAATACTACATTTAAGAGTGTACAATTATCACACTTGCACTTGATTCAATTCAAATTGTATTAGTGGGTAACGATTTTGTTTGTTGAAACAAAATTATTGGGGTGTCTTGTTGTAAAATTAAACTAGTGGTGTATGGCGTCGTGCCTTAAGTCAAATTTCTGGAACTTTCCGTACAGTAATTTAAAATATTTCGGAGCCTCGACAAAACTAGTGGTGCATGGTGCATGGAAACAAGAAATTTATGGCATCGTGCCTTAAAGCAAATTGCTGCAACTTTCCTTACCAGAATTAAATATTCGAGGAAAAATCAGTAATAATTAAATTATTATAATTAATTAAATATTGATCGATGATTAATAACAATTGTTTTAAACATTTTTAAATAGATAATTATAATCACTATATATTTTATTGTTCATAAAATATACAGAGACGATCTTATTGCTCAAAACACTTGAGAAAGTTTACATTAGTATGAGATGCGGAATAAAACCATCTGAGGATATATTTCTCACAATAAAACTAACGCATTTAAAATATATACATTTTCAAACTGAATTGTAAATTTAAAATTCATATTTGATAAAACTTTGTATATTTTGAATTTTTTTCCGAAAAATCTTGGTACGGAACCCAACAAAATTGTAACAAAAAAATTAGTACTCATTTTCAAAAACTTCATCAAAAATCTGATAATTTAATGTGCATACGTCTGATGTTCATTTTTGACCACCAAATATAATTTTTGTTTTAACTTTTTCCTCTGTATCTCCGAAACCGCTAGACCCGCGTTACCAAAAATTTCATCGATTATTCATTTCGTCATTACAAGTAAAATGTTTTTGTATCAATAAAATCGAGTAATTACAAAAACAGCAGACAAGTATAGAAACAAGCTAATCAGTCACCCAAATTCATTAGCAAACTCATTGGTAACAAAGTACTATCCAAGAAGATTGAAAAGAAAAGCGCCACTGGATTTAATCCATCTACTCTCCTGATAAAAAATGGTAATAACTTAATCGTTATTTATAAGAAATTATTCAATAAGTAAATAGTTAAAATTATATAATTATCAATAAAACATTGTGAATTTTAAATCGAATGAAAAAACAACTACTGAGTTGTTTTTTCCAACATGCCCTTGTAGTATACAATGTCCCTTTTCGGCCGACTATTGTAAATTCATCAAATTTATTGAATGTCCCTTACTGGACAGTTGTAAATAAAAGAGATAATAATAAAAAAAAATCGAGTACTCTCCGTGCTCTCAAAAACTGAATTACCGTTTTTGGCACTTTTTGCCCCATATCTCTGAAACGGCTAAACCTGTCTTCATCGAAAACTAATCAGCAACAGGAATTGAATGTTTTTTGAACCAAAATTTTGAATTTCACGTAGGGTAAGTTATTGTAATCGTCCAAAAATCAAAAAATTTTTTTGCATATTTTCACGTTTCAGAGGTTTCTGAACATTTTGGCATACCACAGAAAAAATGTTTGTATGTATGTATGTGTGCGTATGTATGGATACAGTTTTTTGTTCTCGTTTTCGGGAGCATGGATCAACTAATTTAAAATATTTAAAAAACATCCGATTCCTATTGATAAAGAGACCATCCGATTAGTTTCTGGCAAAAGTCGGTGAAGCCGTTTCGGAGATATGAAGCAAAGAGTGCAGAAAATGAAAATTACATTTTTGAGAGAACAAGTATCCCATCTTAATGTTGCAAAAAACATTCAATTTGTTTTGATGGGTAAAAGTGGTTTTTGACAGAGACAGGCCCAGCCGTTTCGGAGATAAGAAGCTAAATATAAAAAATGGTCGTTTTGAGAGAAAAAAGCATCCGATTTGAATAATTCAAAAAATTTTTTTGCTTATGTCGACAGTGTGAAGAAACAATTAGTTGTTGGGGAAGGTTAAAAAAATGTAATTTGTAAAATTTCTTTTAATTTTTTAAAAATAATTTTTTTGAATACCAAAATTAATTCGAATGCACTTTGGCTATAATATGCGAATAATGCAACTTAGAGTAATCATAATGATCTAATTCAAAACATTTAATACTCCTGCAATATTTTTGTTGCGGTACGGGAACTTCAAGCAATTTGTCTTAAGGCATGATGCCATTCACCGCTAGTTAACTTTCCGTGGGCTAAGTTGTAGTACACAAAAAAAAATCGAAAATTTTTATATATCGTTACGTTTCAAAACCTTCTGAACATTTTGGTATACCTGATACTTTGTCGATACAAAATGGTAATAATAACTTATATACTTATATCTTCAATTCTGTTCCTTACATTTACTACTTCTCAACACTAACAATATCTGGAGAAAACCACCTATTGCAGAGTGTCGGGTATACTAGAGTAATAACGATATCAGATTACTGTTCTACAAGATAGTACCTTCGTATCTTTATTTCGGTGTGAGAAATACAGGAAGGAGCAACTATTTATGAGTAAATTAATTGCGCCGCCGGGGCCCTCTAAGGGAAAAGCATTCGTTAAGTTGTTTCCTATAAATATCCGTGGTATTCTATCCAATTCTATGGTTTGCACAATTTAGTGTACGCTGAGAAAGAATAGAGGCGCATTTCGTAATAATCATCATATGATGAAAAGTTTAATGGGAATTTAATTGTTTATATCAATTTTGCCTTTTACGATATTTTTAACTTCCCGTAAGGTAAGTTATAGTAATCGCAAAAAAATCCAGAATGAAAATTTTTGCATATCTTCACGTTTTGAAGGTCTCTGAACATTTTGGCATACCTTAGAGAAAACGGATGTATGTGTGTGTGTGCGTGTATGTTTGGATACAAGTTTTCAACCAATCAACCAATTTGAATGATTGAAAAAACATTCGATTTCTATTGATTAGTTTTTGGTAAAGACAGACAGGTAGTGCCGTTTCGAAGATACGGTAAAAAAAGTGCCAAAAATTGTAATTCAGTATTTGAGGGAACAAAGCACCCGATTCAAATGATTCAAAAATAATTTTATTTATATTGACAAAATGATGAATTGGTTAAATTTTTTGGTAGGCAGATCTAGCGGTTTCGGAGATACAGAGAAAAATGTAAATATAAAAAGATATTTGGCGGTCCAAAATGATCATTAGACATATTCACATCAAATTATCAGATATTTTATAGATAGTTTAATAATAAGAACATATTTTTAACATTTTTTTATACGGTTCAAGCTAATTTCGAAATTTTCTGAAATTTCTTTTTAAAATTTTCAAAAATATACAAAGTTTTATACTTTAAATAAGAATTTTAAATTTACAATTCAGTTTCAAAATGTATATATTTCAAATGCGTTATATATCTTCAGATGGATTCATTCATTCACTTCTAATGTAAACTTTCTCAAGTGCATTGAGCTAAAAGATCATCACTGTATATTTTATGATCAATAAAATATCTAATAATTATAATTATCTATTTAAAAATGTATAAAACAATTGTTTTAAATCATTGATCTATTTTTAATGATTAACTTCCCGAAGGAGAAGTTTATGTTTTCATCAAAAAATCCGAATCGCTAATTTCATGTTTTCTCGACGTTTCAAGCCATTCTGAATCGAATGAGACCAAATTTGGAAAAAGTATGCATGTGTGTGTGTCTGTGTGAATAGATTTTTTGCCGTAAATCGACGTTTTCTCGAAAACGGCTGGACCGATTTCTAAAATTTACAAGCCTTTCGATGTATCTCGATGAGGACTATTGTTTGTCAGTTTTGTGCGACGATCGGCCAAGCCCGTTTCTTTATAAATCGCAGAAAAGTGAAAAATTTTTCGTCTACGTTTTAGCCCGCAATTCTAAATCGATTTTGAAAGTTCAAAAACCGTTCGAAAGATATTGGTTGGGAATCGTGCTGATTAGTTTTTGGTAGAGATCGCCCGAGCCGTTTTCTTGTAATAAAGTTTTTTAAAAAAAAATCGACGATTTTTATGATTATTTTTTTGACGGTAGATACCATAGTCTTCTAGATCATACTAAAAATATTACGGCCCTACGACAGCTGGTTTAGCTTTAAAAATTCGTCGAAGTATGCAAAAATTAGTATGGTCTTTTTGGCGTTTGCCAAAATTAGAACTTTCGTCGACATTTGCTGTATCTCGATGAGGATTTTCGTTTCTCAGTCCTGTGCGACGATCGGCTGAGCCATTTCTTTGTAATTTGGAAAGAAGTGTTAAACCTTTCTCCACATTTAAGCTCATACTACCGAACCGATTTTAAAAAATCAAAAACTGTTCGATAGATATTAGTTGGGAATGATACTGATCAGTTTTAGGTGAAAATCTACCGAGCCGTTTTCTTGTAATTAACTGTTGAAAAAAAATTTAAACCGGTTTTCATGGAACTTTTTTTTAGCGATATATATATATCATGCTTTTATAAAACTTACTGAAATATTAAGGCCTTACTACAAGTAGTTTAATTTTAAAAATTCATCAAAGATTAAGAAGAAGAGAGGTTTTTTTTGACGTTTGTTAAAATTAAAATTAGACGATTTTCTTGGTATAACGATAGAGTACTTGGTTTTAATGAACATTGTAAGCCATTAAAGAAGTTTTCCTACGGTAACTGGTTCAATTATAAAAACTGGTGATTTTTGAAAATTTGCTATTAGAAAATACTCCGAGTCAAAGTGTTCGTTCGTTTTCAATCATATGTAATAAATCCACTCGGAATACTTTTAATCACTCATAAATTAATTTATTTTTTATTGATTAAGTCGATTAATTACACATATCGGGAAGTTCATGTAACTTGCCTCAAGGCTAAATACCAAACCAACTAGTTACTTATGTAAAACAAATGTGTAGACTTCTAGAACTCGTCATAAGCTTAGTTTACAATGGCCCAATTTGTTCAAACATGATACATCAGATATAATTAA